TCATACTCCATCTTTCTTATGTCTTTGAGGAGTCCACTAAAATGAATAAATAAAATTGTTTGATGGACTGATCATTATGAAAAAAACAACATTTTTTTTAAAAAAAACTTTTGCTCTATTGATGTTTATGTGATATTCCAAATCTTTATTCCATAAATCCATGATGCCCAAACTATGTATTGTGTTGCCTCAAAATAATGAATGCCATGCGATATGTTGTATTCGTTCATATTTTCTAATCCATGTGCAGGTCTTTCTATCTTGTCTTATAATGCCAAGCATGCATTTTCTATGGCTCTTTATGCCACTCATAGCTTTTGTATTAATTGTGAGGCTAGTGTCCATGTTTTACCAGCATATGTTAGAGCGGTAGCACATAATGCTTGAAAACTTTTTTTTTCAGGCATAGGGGGAGATTGTTTTTGAAAATTATGCTTAGCTTGCTGAATGCCAGCTAACTACATTTAACATACCATTCAATTTCCAGAGAATGTACTGTGTTTTCCCCAAAATAAGACCCGGCCTTATTTTTTGGGGGTATGAATTAAGCATTAGGACTTATTTTTGGGTAAGTCTTACATTACCAGCAGATGGCGAGCGCGTGGTGGCAGGGTGTGGCATGGCCTGTAAATGGAGTGGATATGCAGTGTGGTAGCAATGGACCAACTTCAGAGCATGTTGGTGGACCAACTACCATAAAAGTATAGAGTTCAGGCAGGCAGGGATGCTGTGCCCTTCCCATGCCAGTCCAGCCCTTGCAGCCCTGGGGCAGCCACGCTCGCAGCAGCAGTAGGACACCGAGGTAGGGTGGCCAGGCTGATATTTCTCTGGGTGGACCAGGGGGGGGTCTTTGCCCTGGTGATGCTGGAGGGCCACCTTCCTGGCCTGGCCTGGCCTGGCCTGGCCTGCCTAAGAGGTGAGCGGGAAGGCAGCAACCCAGGGCCAAAGTGGCAGCTGGAGCACCAGAGGGTAAGGGAGGAAGGATGCTGACATGAATAGGCATCCTGCCATCAATGCCCATGCTGGTGCCCCTTTCCCACCATAGCCAGAATGCTGCCACATATTATGTGCCAGTAGATGCCAGCCTTCCTTACAGTGGGCCTAGGCAGCTGCTGGAGAGGAAGAGCCAATTTCAGTGCCTGGCACCCTTAGGGGGTTTATCTTGGCATCTTCTTTTCAGCTCCGTGCATTTGTCTATGGCCGCAGAGCTGGAGAGCTTGTCCCACCACCACCCAGATGCTCTTGCTTCCCCCAAGCATTTCTTTGCTTACCTGATTTCCAGGCCCGTAGCATTCCTTCATCATGTTCCTCTGCTGCTGCATGCAAGGAAACAAAGGAAGTTTGTGGGACTAAAAAACAAAGTCAATCAAACAATTTCAACTTCTCATGAAAAAAAAGATCTTGCAAAGTTGGAAATTATTGCTTGAACTTTTTTTTTAGTCCCACAAACTTTTTGTTTGTTTGTGGGACTGCAAATGGCAGCAGAGGAACATGATGGAGGAATGTGATGGAGCTGGAAATCTAGTAAGCAAAGAAATGCTTGGGGGAAGCAAGGGCATCTGAGTGATAAAAGGGCAAGCTCTCCACTCTGCAGTCACAGAGAAATGTGATGGAACTGGAAAGCAGCTCTTGTGTTCCACCTGCCGCTTTGGTGGCTGTGTGGGCAAAACTATGAAGAGGGCCAGGTCTGGCTCGGGAGGGAAGTAAAAGGGAAGACAGTGGGCAGATGAGGGGGGAATCTGCCCCACTTTGCTCCGCTTGTTCTGTGGCCAGCTGCTTTTGGCCAAGCCATGTTGTCCTCACCCATGCCATGCCAAGATGCTTGGCAGATCTCCCCAATCTGACCCAAGTGGCACCTGCTTTCCAGCTTCAACACAACCCTAACCCCCACTCCTCCACAGCCCTACCCACAATGCCTAAACCCAACCCTAACCTTCATCCTAACCCCCAACCCCCCCCAGGGCAACCACAACTATAATGGTGATGTACAACAATCAACATTTATTCAAAAACAGCCATGTCATCTTTTTCTGTAACATCTTCATACGGTAACTCTCCCAAATTCAAATTCTGGCCCATACCTCTTGTGATTCCAGTTCCTGTAGAGCCATTGGCCCGAATCTCTCATGTCCAACAACAGCGGTCTCCTTAAATGAGCACTTCTTGTCCATGTACCCTGCTTGTAGTGCATTGGCAACACAACTGTCAGTGATGTTATCTCATGAATTCTTCACCCAAGTCATGATCTCTGGAAGGCTAGGCTTCACAAAGTTTCCATGCTGATTTCTTTCCATTCTGTGTTCAGTGTAGTCATTGATTTCCCTGTGCAAATGGTCCTTGAATGGCTTGTTTATTGCAATATCCAGAGTATGGAAATAGACAGTCATTCCTGCAGGAATCATTATTTGATCTATTCCTCTCTCTCCAAGGAACTTCTTCATATCATTTGCATGGTGAGTGCTGCCTGAATCACAGACTAGCAAACCTCTCTGGCCATCTCTCAAAACAAGTGACAGCATTAAATCAGTCCACTTCCTTATAACAGCTTGTGTGCACCAGGCTGTTTGGTTTCAAGAAAATAAATGCCAGAAACATGTTCAATTTTATCTTTCTTGCCCTTAGTGATGATTAGAGGTAGGACTTTCATTCCATCCAGATGAATTGCCAAAATACAGGTAACATGTGCACTTTTGTAATCAGTGGAGGGAATGTAGATTTACGAGGCACCCCTCAATTCTTGTTTGAGATGCTTGGCCCATAAACACTGCAGTTTCATCCATGGCAATCATGTTGGAGAGTTGGTATTTTGAAAAGTCTGTCCCATCAACAAAGGATTTGAATATAAGGGCATGTTTAATAAGTTCAGCATCCTGCAGCTTGAACAGTGTTGTCGATCTTCTTAGAGACAGTTCATATCACTGAAGGAAGCCATCCAGCCAGTGTTGTGATGCTTTAAATTCTTCTGGGGATATTTCTAACTGTGGTGCCAGTACAATGGCAAATGTTTGAATATCAGCCTGTGCACAACCAAAGCCCTTGCTCTCCTGTCAGCAATCCAGTCACAGAGGTTGTATTCAACTTCAGGAAATAATGGCTGCCTACCTGATCCACACTTTTGCTTCTTGGCATTTTGCTCATCCATCTATTGTACTCTGCTCATCATTTTCAGACCAATTAGTTCTCTTTGCAGAAAGCTGTAAGATTCATGCCCTGAGAGTCCTCCAAGATTACTTTCTTGATAATAGCTCTTTCTTTTTGAACTCATCTTGTTGGGGGTCAAAATATTCCCTTTGAATCTTCCATTAAATCACCATTAAACCAGGGGTGTCAAACTTGATTTCACTGAAGGTTAGGGTTGAGGTTAGATGGGGGAGAATCTGCCAAGCCTCATGGAAGAGGCATTGGTGGGCACATCATGCTGCGAGTGGCCAGAACTGGCCACAGAATCCATGGAACAACATGAGAGGCTGTGGCAAAGTACTGGTAAGCAGGGTGTATTGGTGAGATCGGTGGGGGATCTGCCAAGTCTCATGGCAGCAGCATTGGTGGCACAACGCACAATGCAGCATCATGCTGCAAGCAACTGAAACTGACTGCAGAATCAGTGGGGCAGCATGAGAGGCTGAGGCAGGGTACTGGTAAGTGGGATGCTTGGGTCAGATCTCCCTTCCCCCACCAGCTTTGCCTCTTGGTAACTGCATTGGCAGGTCCCCTCCTCCTCATCTTGTGTCTATGGTACAGTAGCAACCAGACAGAATTGATGTGCAAGCTCTTAAGTAGGGCTTACTTTTGGGGTAGGTCTTATTTTCAGGGAAACATGATAGGAGCAGAATTAATTTGGAAGAGCATTTTTAAAGAAGTGAATCAAGAACAAGTATGTATTTTAGTATAATTGCTAGAAGGCACTATAGTACAGTCATAGGGACTGATGACTTTAAGTAATTATCACTGTACAAATAAAAGTAGAATCATTGAATCATGGAGTTGCCATCTTTAAAGTAATCATGAAGAAAGAAAGAATATTAACATCTCTGGGGACTTAGGAATTTGATTGCATCATAAATGTTTTTCAGGAAGCTAAAGAGGTAAAAACTCCCTAAGCTCATTTCTTTATTTTGTTAAGCAGTTTAATTTCACAAAGAGACAGTATTTGTTTGTTCAGAATCTCTTTATTTCTCCTTCACAAACGAAGAGAAGCCTTCTGCTGGTGACTTTTGGATCAATAATTGACATAGCAGTTAATAGCTGTAAGTAATTGCTCAGTGCATAAAAGTGTATTCTGTTTTCTCAAATCATCATATTTCAAAGCTTCTCTAAATGAAATAATACCTAGTGATTTTCCTAATTCTATAGCCAGTTTGGTAAGAGCAAAAGGACAGTGGATAGAATATATCTCTTCCCTGATTATTTCAGTTCATCATTGGGCTTCTACCTCAACATCTGTTTTTCACCTGCATAATAAAAAATGACCTGATCTGTGGAAAAAAAAGCAAATTTCATGTGTTTAACAACATAATTTATTTTATGGAACCTTCCACAATTTAACATCTTTCAAATGTATTGGACTGACCCTCATTATCCCAAATCAAAAGTGTGCTAAATGGGAATTCCCAAAACTGTAGTCTAATACATCCAAGGATTGTTGGTAGAGATGATTTTGAACATGTGTATAAACATTTACTTGGAAATAATATCCGTTAAGCACATATTGCTAAGCAAGTATGGATAATTAATTTTCTTATGCTTCTGCTCAATATTTAACACTAGCAATTTATGGCAATTAAAATAATGACACTCTTAAAATAAAAAAATAATGTAAACGTTTTCATTATTTTAATGGAGGAAAAGAAGAAGAAGAAGAAGAAGAAGAAGAAGAAGGAGAAGGAGAAGGAGAAGGAGAAGGAGAAGGAGAAGGAGAAGGAGAAGGAGAGGGAGAGGGAGAGGGAGAGGGAGAGGGAGAGGGAGAGGGAGAGGGAGAGGGAGAGGGAGAAGGAGAAGGAGAAGGAGAAGTTGTTTAGCAGATGAAATCATGCTAAAAATGGATCTCATGACAAATCCTTGTCAGAATTAAGAAATTATATAAAAAACTAAAAGTTAATATGGATGAATATGAATAGCCTTCCTATATAATATAGATCACCTTAACAAATAATATCAATGAGTTTTAAATGGTAAAGAAAGGTAATCTCTCTGTGTCTTGTAGGAGACATTGTTAATATATTTAGTCTGTTTGGGAATAAATTGCTATGTAGGATATGATTTTGTTCCATAGGTGTGGGTATGGCTGTTATGCTTTTAGTCTTTTAGACACTGTACCAATATGTGATAAGCACCAGCAATAAGGTGCTTATGAACTAAATAAGTCATATTACTTTATTTTCACTTATTCTATTGAATAACACTATGGGAAACAAACTGTCATGTTTTGTAGAATCTGATTCTAAAAGAAATATAGAACAGAATGAACTATAAACTCCACTAAGAATCATCTGAACAACTGAAATATATATATTTCAGGTATATATGCATTGCAAAGAAGGGATGTAAAATGAATTTTTTAAAATCAAAAGATAGCACAGGATAAAAACTCTCAGTGGCTATCTAATGTCAAAATTCTCAGCAAATTTAAAGCAGCGTGTGCAAGCTTTCCTGAGCCTATCCTGAAGACACATTACTTCTCATTGTTTTCTAGGGCTGCTGTGATATGCAGGAGATTCATTCAATGTGGAACACAGAGAAAGGAAACCAATCATCCATCACAAAATTCCTCCTTGAGGGTTTTGGAAATGTCCCAGAATTGCAGCCTCTTCTCTTCTTGTTCTTCCTAATTATTTATCTTGCAACAGTGATTGGGAATCTCCTCATTATATTGTTAGTTATAGCTGACCATCATCTTCACACCCCCATGTACTTCTTCCTAGCAAATTTGTCCTGCCTAGAGACCTGCTATAGTTCAATCATTTTACCCCAAACATTGGCCAATTTGTTCAGTGGTCAGAAATCTATTTCTTTTACTAGATGCATGACCCAATTTTATTTGTTTGGCTCTTGTGTTAGTATAGAGACATACCTCCTGGCTTCCATGTCATTTGATCGCTATCTAGCCATTTGTAAGCCTTTGCTCTATGCAATTATTATGAATAAAAGACTGTGTTTTCAACTTATAGCTGCAACATGGACAAGTTCTATAATGGGTAGTGGCATTGTGATGTGTTTGATGGCTCAGTTATCCTTCTGCGGACCCAACATTATAGACCATTATTTTTGTGACTTCTTCCCTGTGGTAAAATTGTCATGTAGTGACACAAAACTGCTAGAACTTGTTACCTTCATCTTGACTTTTCTTTTCACAATTGCACCATTTCTACTCACTCTCATATCGTATTTTTGCATAATTGAAAATATTCTAAAGATATCTTCAACTACTGAAAAGCGAAAGGTTTTTTCAAACTGTTCCTCTCATCTCATGGTGGTTGGAATTTTTTACAGTACAGTAATCATTGTCTACATGTTGCCAAATATACCAATTTTGAGGCAATTCAACAAAGTTTTCTCTGTTTTCTACACAGTATTGACACCTCTGATTAATCCTCTGATCTACAGCTTAAGAAACAAAGAAGTACACAAAGCCTTTAAAAGACTGTGGTGCAAAATGATACATTTTAAAGATTTTTAGACAAATGCATAATGTTTTATTATAATCAATTGCTTTTTTTTATATTGTTTCCTAGAGTGAGTTTGTCACATATTGGTTCCATTGGTTGGAAGCTGTTAGTAAAATAGTAACATAATGTTAATTGTATTATGGCAACATCTAAAATATTGATCAAACATTAAGCACATTTTCCCTAAGATAATGTTTCCCATATAAACTTTGATTTTATCAAAATTGCCATCCATCCATCCATATCCTTCAGGTATGTTGGCTGGGAAAATCAGGATTATCAATTCAAGAAAATTAGATGGAAGCAGGATGTGGAAAGCTAATATACTGTAGTTTTCTATCCACTTTTCTCTTGGTATATTTGTTACTTATAAATATGACTACATTCTATTCCAATCACTGCATAATTTGATTGCAAGGAACAATGTTTAGTTCAGGGGTGTCAAACTGCCGGCCCACGGGCCAGATGCATCATAGCAAAACTGCATCCACCCTATTGCTGGCAATGGAAAAAAAGTCACAATATGTTGTGACATGTCACAGGACATTGTGAGTTTGACACCCCTGTTTAGCTTTTCTTTATAATGCAATTTGTGTATTTTTTGTGTTTTCCAAACAAAATTGAAATCCATCACCGAAAATAAGGATATTTAGTGGAAATGATATACTGTTGACCAAGAAGAAAATAGGATTGAATGACAGAAAGTGAAGAGGCATGCTGGAAAATACTGAAGCTGGACAATATTATGCTATGCTGGAACATTTAACAGCTGTTGTTGAAAGAAAATTTCAGAGCATTTAACTAAAAACAGAGTTTTGTGCCAGAAGAGTTATTGAAATATTAATCTATGCTTGAAAGATGTCTGGTTACAGGTAATAATTTGTTATTATATCATATTTCCAGGGCTCTTTGATCCATTATATTTACAATTATAATAATCTAATTAATATGACTTTCTTTTCTCTGTGGCTAATATTTTCTTTCACTATTTGTCAGTTATATGGTTCTTTGAATATGTCAGTTTGATAATCATTTTTTGTTACAAATGTTATTTGCTACATCATATGCTTTTTATTTTATGAATTGGTCAATGTCTATAATAAATGTAATTGTGTGCATTGACAAAGAACATGCCATACTATCTATCTATCTATCTATCTATCTATCTATCTATCTATCTATCTATCTATCTATGAATATTAAAAACAAAACGATGATTCCTGGATAGACTCATGTTAAATAATAGAATATACGAACACTAGGAAGTTATAAAACTATAAAAAGTTTTAATAGAATAAAACCAGAATAAAACCAAGCTTTCGCTGGCTTCTGCCAGCATCATCAGGGTAGTGTCCAGTCGATGGGAGAAGCTATTTATAAATGTGGTGCTCTTTGCGCCTGGCTTCTTGACCTCGTCATGGGTCCCAGCCAATCCACCCGTAGGAATGTACAAGGAGATGCAAATCATGATCGCAAGGACCCCGCCTCTCTCCCTTTAAGGAGGGTTGCACACCCCCAAATAGTGGATGAATGTATAAACAACAGTGAGGGGACAGCCCCCTCGGGAGAAGGGGTTAACAATCAACTTGTGGGTGCCACAAACTCTGGGGAGGATGTTAAAATTACCCCCGTTGAAGAGAAAATAGAAAGGGGAGTTAACAAAACGATACGAAAGATCGGGAAACAGGATGATATGAACACAATGGGATCCTGGGCCACGGGGACAAACAATGAGGATATAGTTGTTAAGGAGGATCGTAGACAGAGAGATAGGAGGAGGAGAATGAAAATAGGGAATATTAAGAGGAGGATGAGGGGAATAAACAACATAAACACAGACAGTGCACATTTAACTACATAGAATTAAAGAGCCCCCCCCGACTTACAGTCATACGAAGAAGGGAGGAAGAGCTGTGGTATCGGCACAAGCAAGGAGAGCGAGGAAATTACAGCTTGCAATACAGAAACTATGATCAAAACGCAGGTGGATTGGCTGGGACCCATGACGAGGTCAAGAAGCCAGGCGCAAAGAGCGCCACATTTATAAATTAATTTATAAATTTAATATAAATTAAAACTATAAAAAGTTTTAATAGAATAAAACCAGAATAAAACCAAGCTTTTGCTGGCTTCTGCCAGCATCATCATGGTAGCGTCCAGTCATTGGGAGAAGCTATTTATAAATGTGGTGCTCTTTGCGCCCAGCTTCTTGACCTCGTCATGGGTCCCAGCCAATCCACCTGCGTTTTGATCGTAGTTAATATTATGGGAGTAAAAAAGAATGAAGGGGTTTTGGAGGAGATGGGTGCTAGCAATGGAGGAGTGGGAGGAGTGATCCGGAGGAACGATAGAAGGAAGTGCAAGGAGAGTAACAGAGAAACATCTGGAACACAAATTGACTAGCCAGGACCAGTGATGTGGTCCAGGAGCCGGGTGCAAATGTCAGCCAAATCCATTTAAGTCATCATTGTTTACTGACTTCTTAGCCCTGATGATGTTTGGAGTTCCCAAACGAAAGCTCGGCAGCTTTTAGTAAAGTATATTTTTATATTTATATTCTCCTGGTGGTCGCATTTTTATTTATACTATCTATCTATCTGTCTGTCTGTCTGTCTGTGTGTGTGTGTGTGTTTTCTGAGGTTTTAGCAGGTGTTTGTATGTAGGTCTTTGGTTATTCGAGTTTTCTCCAGCGTAAAATTGGAAGTGTCTTGGCGACGTTTCAACGAAGTCCCATTCGTCATCTTCAGGCTGGTGTTTTCAGCTTCGTGCTTCGAGGAGCAATGTGTGGTCTTAGCTGTTTTCTTCTGGTAGATGATGTGTCCAATGGCTCCCTAGGACACACCATCTTCCAGAAGAAAACACACACAAACCGCTATCTGCACGCTCTCTCACACCACCACCCAGCACAGATCAACTCCGTAGTCAAGACACTCATCTCCAGAACAACACGCTTAGCTGACAAACAACACCTAAAAACCGAACTACACACTCTCACCAATGTACTAACATCCAATGGATTCCAAACAAATAAGATTACAAACCTAATCCAAAAAGAAACCCCCACTAAAATCCAAGACAGAGAACAAGAAAACAGAAAAGCCCTCCTCCCATACATAAATGGCACCACAGACAGAATCACCAAGATCCTCCATAAACACAACATCAAAACAGCATTCTGCACAAACAGAAAAATATTGACCATCCTAAGAAACCTCAAAGATAAAATTGGGGTTAGAAAATCAAGGAGTATATGAAATCCCATGCACTGCTTGTCCCAACACATACATTGGACAAACCAACAGAAGAATAAGTGCACGCATTGAAGAACATAAGAACTCAGTCAAAAAAGAGGAACCAACATCTTCCCTGGTCCAACACCTTAAAGCCACAGGACATGAAATTGACTTTAAAAATACCAGAACCATTGCCAAAAGTGAACATTTTAATAACAGAATAATCAGAGAAGCCATCGAGATAGAAAAACGCCCACACAGCATGAACAAGCGAGATGATACCTCCCGCCTACCAGACATTTGGAAACCTGCCGTTATTGACAAACGACTCCCTAACACAAAAAATGATACCAGACCCACACTCACAAAAACCACACAGGATGTCACCACCACACATCCACGCAAAAAACAAACCCAAAGCCACACCGATGATGAGGCATGACCACAAACCAGAAGCCAGACCACAGCTGCATCATTAGCCACTTTAAACCCCTCCAATCCATACATGAAGCAAACTGACACCCTCCATGAAGAGGAGACACGACCACGAACGCGAAGCCAGAAAATAGCAAGGCAGCCCAAAATCTTAAACCCCTCTGCAACTCAGACTAACCTGAGCACAACCAAACAGAACACTCCCCCAGCCAATCAGAGCACAGCCAAGCCCCTAACCATTCAGAACACACCTCCACCCAATCAGAACACAGCCAAGCTCCCACCCAATCAGTTCATACCCCCACTGGCAGTTAAAAGGAATAAACAGCTAAGACCACACATTGCTGCTCAAAGCACGAAGCTGAAAACACCAGCCTGAAGATGACGAATGGGACTTCGTCGAAACGTCGCCAAGACACTTCCAATTTTACGCGGGAGAAAACCCGAACAACCAAAGAATACCTACATACAAATACCCGCGAAAACCTCAGAAAACACACACACACACACACACACACACACACACACACACACACACACACACACACACACACACACACACATATATATATATATATATATAGATATATATATATATATATATATATATATATATATATATATAATTACTCTAAAAGACAGAAAAGAAAAAGAATTGATCTTTGGAAAAGACTTTCTTAACTCACTGAGGGCATCTAGTGGCAAAAATTTAATATTGCAACTTTGTTTATTCATCTATTGAATTCCAAAACACTAAAGATAAGCGGTACACCTGTGAAGCTGTGGGGGTGGATGTTTTTACATTAAACAAAGCCTCTACAAAAAAGAAAAAGAGATTTCCTTTTAAGTATTAATATTAAAATGGATAAATCTCAGATACAACTGAACTGTGCATTTATATTGGAAAAGATTTATGAGGCCACTGCAGAAATTTGTGCTATATTTAAAAACTGTACTTTGGAATTAAGATCCAGAAATTCTACTACATTTGCTCAAACTGATGTCCAGGTTACTACTGATCATTGTATAAATCAAAATGTACCAGAAGAGGAATTTACAGAGATAGAAGTGGAATTTATTTCATCTGACAATCCTTTCTTCAGCAACTTAGAGAACCAGAAGAAGCAAAGACTAAGACCTCAAAATACAAAGCAACTACATTGCAAGGAGAACAGAAAAAGACGTTTACTGCAGAGGAAGAGATTTATATTTTCTCAAAGATTACTACAAGCAACAAGAATCAATCTATTGGTTGAAATGGAAAAAAGATGTTTACTGCAGAGGAAGGGATGTACATTTTCCCAAAGATTACTACAAGCATCAAGAATGGATTTACTGGTTGAAAGGGAAGCGCTTTTATGGAAGCCCGGGTGGCATAGAAAGAAACCTAGAATTAGACTGAAAAAGAAATTTTAAAATGTTTAATGGAGTAAAAGGCAATGTTGATTCTATGGATTGTTTTAAGGATAATGATCTAGAACCAGAACTAAGAAAAATGCAATTATATATATGCGTGTTTAAATTAGTAAGTGCTTAAACTGATTAGGTGATTTTTGTGTATAATAATATGATCTGATAAGGTATGATAATTAATTGGATGGAATTTGAAGTTTGCGTAATGAATTGAAAGGAATTAAGGTCTAACATTATTATTATTTTCTTTTTTCTTTTCTCTTAATTAAATCAGTTATAACTATATACATATGTGTTTAAATTAGTTAGATGCTTTTTTTGTTGTATGGAATGGTTTGGATAAAAGAACCTTGGCTCTATGGATTGTATTAAGGATAAAAAATATATAATCATACACACACACACACACACACACACACACACACACACATATATATGTATGTTCTGGAGTTGAAAAAAATATTCAGTCATGAGAATGTAATTTTGAAGTGCTTAAATTGATTAGGTGATATTTGCCTATAATAATATGATCTGATAAGGTATGACAACTAATTGGATATCTGAAGTTTGAGTAATGAATTGAAAGGAACTAAGGTTTAACATTGTTTTTTTTTAATTAAATTAGTTATCACTGGAAGAAGAAATGAATGAGATTGGTGATAAGAAGAGGGTTGAGAGAGATTAAAACTTTAATATACATGGTAGAGATACTTGAAGTGATAATTTGTTGATGTAAAACAATATTTGACTATGGTAATTTTAAATTGATAAAACTTTAAAACAGGTGGAGTAGTAACAGAAATTTAAGCTAGAAATGGAATATATTAAATCTATTATGTTATTTGTGAGAAATAGAGAGATGATAGTGAATGTATTAAGTTGAGCTATTTATGTATGTTTTTCACCTTGAATTGTTTGTTTACCCAAACACCACAGTGTGTCTAAAGTACTCTTTGTTAAAATTTAAAAACCCAATAAAACATATAGAAAAAAAACAATAGCAGCAGGCCTATAGAATCATTTATGTTCATTTTTAAAAGAATTATCTAGAAAAAAATGATTAGTCCTGGAGTATAGAGCCCCACAACCAAGCAATTATCAAAGCTTGGATGGTCTCTAGGACTGATCTATTATGTAACAAACAATTATTTTAAATGGCACAAATTTAATATTTGGAATAAAAGTCATCTAGCCTTAATTAAATTTGTAATCTCATGAACCTGACTTATTTGGATATGAATTCCTGAAATATCAGAAAAAAATTGTGAGTGGGATCCAGAAGTAGAAAGGATCAATTATTCAATTTTTAAACTTCAAGGAAATCTAAACCAATAGCATTTAGCAGTTTATGCATAAGGAAATAGGTTACAGATCAGAAATTGAGTAGCATTAATCTTCCACAACCTAGAACATAAATTTTATTATCTTATTAAAATCCTACTGACTTTGCACAAGATTTTCAAACTGTTGTTGCCCATATTTTCCTCTTCAATCTTCATTTTTGTATACAGCATTCATATATCTTTTGAAAAGTATTTGGAGAAAGGGAAAAGTGTGTGTTTCACCCACAAAGTATTGAAAATACATTTAGTGTACTTTTACCTCTTAGAAATAAGAAATAAATTTCAGCATGATTGTCTATAAACAGCTATGGGGGTGGTGTGGGAGGTTAACCCAAGAAACTTGATTAGAATGATTACATGAGAATTGCTACTATATATAGTGTATATATTTTTCCTCTTTCAAAATTATTTTCCATGCATCCAATAAAACATGCAGATCAACAAAACTTGATGCCATAATAAATATGCCATAATAAATAAATTTCCACACAACTCTTTGCTGACTTATGTTTCCATTTTCCATGCATAACTTGAATTCTTCATGTTCAGGCTTACTGCAGTATAGTGAAGACCTGTGCTGAAAATCTTAATTTTAATTTTAGACCTCTAAATCCAGTGCTAACATATCCTTAACTTTTGACCATGCTGTCAATAACTGGATTTGTCCAAAACACATAGCGGTAGCAACTTGGGAAATTTAATAAACCCTTATATTTTCCACTTGTTCTATAAGTATCTTGTCCCTGAAACTACTTGCCTTTTGGGGGATAAAAGGCTAAGGAAATTTTGATGCAATATACTGTGCCAGACTTACTGAGGCTTTTCATAGATATATTTTTTGTCTCTTTATTAAGTTAAATAGAAATGAATAAGATGTGCACCCAATCACCAATTCAGTTTCTTTAAGGATTTGGTAAACATTCAAAGAAGTTTGGAATCCTCTGCAATTCTTGTAACATTTCACAATTTTCTGTGTCTTCTAACTTCATATAAATGTGAATTAATTATCTTATTTAAGTAACCTCCAAATTAAAAATGGTGTGAGTATTTAAATACTACCAGCAATATCAATATATATGGAATGCCATCACCATATACCTACAGTGAGAAGGGATTGATAGGTAAGTAGAGGCTGCAGAGGGCTGCAAACAGGCCAATGCAAACACCTCCCAAATTCCAAGTGTGCATTGTGTATTGTGCAGAGGTTCATACTCTGCATGCTGATTGGTTCTGACATCCTATTGGGAGGCCAAGAAAGGCAAGACATAAAATGGAAAATATTAACATTCATTGATGTATAAAAAGAACACCTAAGCAACTATCGCAAATGACAGCCTCATATTTTCTGAAAGCTGGAGAAAAATTCAGGAGATTGAAATATGAACAATAAGAATTCCTAAACTAATAAAAAACAAGAAAAAGTCATAAAATAAGAAGAAAAAGAAAAGAAACTAAATTATATAACATCCCCCCCTTCCACAAAAATTACTGGGGGAAATATTGTATTTCATAGCATTCACCACTATGAACAATTTCATAACAAAGATAAGCAAGATAATTAATGTTTGATGTTCATTAATAAACCTGAGTTTGGTGGCTTTTATTGGCTTGAGTTTTATGCTGCTACTTCTATAGCCTCAAATAAAACATTCAAGTTTGTATCTATTGTCATATGTCAATATATCTTGGTCACCTCTCTCATGCTAAAATAATAAAAATAGGACAAGCTGAAGTGTCTGCACATTAGACAGTGTGTTGGAATATATTAGTTTATGAACTATTGAGGGGGGGGAATAATGAAGTAGAGTTGAAGACTGAGCAGATTCTACCATGTTTTCCCAAAAATAAGACCCAGTCTTATATTATTTTTACCTCCAAAAAAGGCACCAGGTCTTATTTTCAGGGGATGTCTTACCTGTTTACCTTAGGACTGCTGCAGCCAGGCATTCCATGCCCCAACATCTGCCTCTCCTCACTGGCCCTCTTCTTCTGTGGCTGCTCACTGCCAATTCTGCATGTGTGTCACCCCTGGCCTCCATTTAACCATCACAGGCCTCTGGTGCCGAGAAACGAGCAAAAAGGAGGCCAGGGGAAACCATGTGCATCAATCCACAGCTCATTTGTCAGCTGCAGAGGCCTTTCCAGAAGGCCCCAGATGGCAAAATGGAGGCCGGGGCTGACGTGCACGAGTGGTGATGAGTGACCAGAGAAGAAGAAGGCTGGCAAGGCGAGGCAGATGTCAGGGCATGGGAGGCCTGGCTGCAAATGTCCTAAGGTAAGCAGTTATAGGATACATGGGGCAGCTCCAGCCCCCCATTCCCACCCTAGCTTGATTTTTACCCATGTACCTCACCCATGCGCTTTGTGCAACCAGGTGCGATGTAGTGGGTGGGGTCTTAAGTAGGACTTATTTTGGGGGTAGGGCTTATATTGGGCACACTTGTACTGGGGCTTATTTTCAGAGAAAATCTTATCTTTGGGAAAAATGGTATAACCCTAAACCAAATAATGTGAAGTGATGAGTGCAATTCAGAGTCATTAAGAAAACAAATGGATAGGGAGAAAAAGCAGAGAGTTGGAAGAAAGCATTTATGCCATTGATACAGGTATTCAAAATATATCCAGTTAGTTGCCTCTCTCAGCTTCAGCAGAACATATCCAATTAAGAAGAACTAATCCAATTTTTGTGGACAGTTGATTCTACTATTAAATCCTTCTTACTATCTGTGATTGCAGAAATGTTCCTAAGATGTGCTGAATTGTTTCTTCCATAACAGTCAGGCAATAGTCAGGGATGACAAAGTTACCTTGAGGGTAGGAAGTTATGGAAATCCACTATACTGTATGTTTACTATATGAATTTTTACATATGTGTGTATCAGGGAACATAGAGTAGATACAATTCGTCAAAAACAAAGGAAAGAGTAGGGTGGTTGGGGGGGGGGAAGGAGACAGAGAGAAGAAGATAGTTCTTTATTTTCCCCCACACATACAGACTGAAGGCCATTCATTTACTGCCTGACTCTAACACTAACATTGGATGATTTTAAAAAACCTGTCAATAATTTCTTGCTAACAAAGAATGAAAACATACATTTCTGATTCATACTATTCTGTAAATGTATTGTTACATTTCTGGGGTAAAATACAAATTTAAAGCAGAAAATATCTAAAATATCACCATTATTGAAATACATATTTGCACACACATGTATAGAAACATATTGAGAGGTAATCTGGTCATCAATGAAGGACTGATGTGGATCAAATTATTTTATTTAGAAAGCAGAAAAGAATAATTTCAGAATATCCTGATCTGCCATTAAAAAAATTTAAAGCATTACGAGATTATGAAATGTTGCTGTATTTTCTGATGGCTTTGAAGAGAGCTTCCTTCACCTCTCTGTTTCTCAAACTATAGATTAGAGGGTTGAGCATAGGAGTTAAGATAGTATATAATATAGAAAATATTTTGTGTAGTTCCCTTAGTGTTTTAGTCTCTGGAACTACATAGACAAGGAATACAGAACCATAGAAAATTGTCACTACAATGAGGTGGGACGAACATCTGGAAAAGGCTTTCTGTTGGGCAATTTTAGATTTAATTTGTAAAACAGTATGAAGAATACAGATGTATGAGGCCAATGTAAAGAGAAAAGGAAGCCCTGTTCCAATTATGCATAAAATAGATGTAGCAAGCTTTACTAAGTGTGTATTGCTACATGAAATGTTTGCTACTGGATATATATCACAAAAGAAATGATCAATTTCATTGGGCCCACAGAAGGTAAGTTTCAGCAGAAAGTAGGTTATGATAGTGTTGGTCAAAAGGCCACTCATCCAAGATGTGAGGGCCAATTGGAGGCAGAGTCTACTATTCATGAGTGTGGTATAATGCAGTGGTTTGCATATTGCTAAATATCGATCATAACACATCATTGCTAAAAGGTAGCATTCAGTGGCTACAAAAACCCCAAAGAAAAAATACTGTACAATGCATCCAAAGACAGATATAGATCGATCTCCAGTTACAAAACTAGCCAGCATCTTTGGTAGAATGGTAGAAATATAATAGATCTCCAAACAAGACAAATTAACGAGGAAGAAATACATGGGGGTGTGAAGATGCTGGTCAACCATAACCAGTGAAACAATTAGGAGATTACCAGCAATGGAGAAAGTATAAATAGGAAGAAATAATATGGAGAGGAGTATTCTCAGTTCAAGAAGATTGCCAAATCCCAGAAGAATAAATTCAGTAGGAGTTGATTGATTTTTTCCTTGCTGGTGAAAAGTAAGATGATTCTGAAATACAGTTGAAAGAACATAATTAATACTGGTGATCAGAATGTCATCCTTCCTTTTTCTTTGATACTTAAATATTATAGATCATTTAGTATAGCGGTCTCAATTCTTTTCCCATTTAATAATGCAAATTGAATATCATACATTTGAATAGTAAGAGGTTTTTTCCATTTCACTTTCACTCTTTCACTCTTTGACTGTATGCATATATAAAAAAAAATCTCAAAAGAGATGTATTTTCACAAAGAGTTACATAAAGAGGAAAGGTATTAGTGAAAATATAGTCCTCATTGTTCATTCTTCATTGAAAAGCCCTTCTTTTCAATGGAAAAGGAAGGAAGGAAGGAAGGAAGGAAGGAAGGAAGGAAGGAAGGAAGGAAGGAAGGAAGGAAGGAAGGAAGGAAGGAAGGAAGGAAGGCTACATTAAGACTTTCTCATACATCTGCTTGAACTGTATTTTCTATATTTATATCTCTGCTTAAGTCTATATCTATACAATACAGAGTTATTCACTGTCTTAAATTAATGGACAGTTGGAAAAACCTTTTAGAACTCAACAGAGAGAAAATACAACATCTACATCTATTGCCTAGTGGAAACTCTTTAGAGACTTTTTGCATGAAACAGAAAAAATGAATTTAACAATTTTGATGATTACACAAGGTAGATTATAGAAAGAACAGAGCTATGCTGTGGCCACAAATTAAGAGGAAAATTTATAATTATATTTGTACTGCTGTAAAGAAGATCAAAAGCTACCTCTTTGTATTATTTTTCTTTTCTTTTTTCTTTTCTTTCTTGCACTTTTAGTTTTATCTTTGAATTATTATTTTCTTTTCCTTTTCTTGCTTTTTATTACTTTTTATTACTTTTATTTTTCTTTTTTTAAAAAAAATCACCATATAAATAAAAATATATTGCCACCAAGAGAGTGGCAACCTTCTTTTCAAAAGAATTTCTCTTGTGAATCCTTGAAAACACAGAAAGAACAAATATAATGCTAAATTGTATTGTAATGTTTAAATTTACTTTTTTGCTATTAGCACACTGATGTTACTGTCAAGTTCAGATTTTCATAGTGCATGATTTTACATTTAAGTCTACACTACCTGCTTTTATAGAATATCTACTTTTATAATTGTTTATTAATATCAGCCATGCATTTATTGAACTGATCAAAACAGATCACAGAAACTAGATTACTCAGATTGCAAAAAATATGCTGCTCTTCAGTTATTACAAAAATAACAGTAATATTTATCTATCATTTATCTGCCTAATATAATCTAATATATATATATATATATATATATATATATATATATATATATATATATATATATATATATATATATCACATAGAATACAAGTACATAAATATTTACCTCTGAACTGTTTATATTCCTAGGTAAGATCTCTGTCATGTTCCATTCATATTTCATCCCAAAGATGTACATTTGTATCTTATCAAATCCAAACTTCTGTTTTAGTTGGTCTTAAAGCCTATTTTAATTTTCCGGTCATAGAATACATCAAAATAATTAATGATATAATGATTATACACAACCTTTCTACAGATACACATTTGAAATCACTTAGAAAAAGAACTGATTTGTCTTCAATATAACTTCTATGTTAGTCAGAAAAGAGCCCACACAATTTTGTCTTCCATTGAGAGCCAAATGGAACAGAATAGAGAAAAAAAAATCTGGGAGCTGATATCCCATTTTCATCTGATATTTGTGTAGTGAATAGACTGATAATAACAACTTCAAATATTATGGATATGTGACAATATATTATTTTAACTGATTTTAAAAAATAGTATGGAATCAAGAATATTTTAGCACATTTTGCCTTGAAATCATAGAATTTCACATTACAGAAAGATATGATATACCCACAATTCATGGAATGTAAAATAATGTAGCAATGTTCAACATAACATCATCCTTAAATTCTTTCTCATATTATGCTATTTTAACAATTTTTAGTTCATTACTTTAAGATTGAAGTAATTGAGCCAAAAAGGATAAGGATAAACTAGTTCCAAATTTTGAACCATATTTAGTGAAGAAACACTCACCTTCTAAAACAGATTAATTCCTGCCTGAGTAAGTGGTAAGACTAGAAGATTTCCAAGGTCCCTTCCAACTTGGTTATTCTGTTATTCTTTTAAATGTAGCTTTTCTCTTTGTATTAACAACAAATTCCTTTAATTACTAGGTTCTAATCTCCTACTGTATTAGCTGGGTACTAAAATGTCTGCTTGAAAGAAAAACTAAAAGTTATGCCAAGCTTATCAAACTATTTGTGATATATTAAAATTCATATGGGAATTTACAAGAACAACAAAACAAAGCTTGCATGTCTATGTGTGCAGTAAGAAATTATTAATTACTCTTTCTGCACTGATCACAAGTGTGTCCTTAAGGTATAAATCTAAATACTTTTTCAAGTCAAGTTGGACTGTGACCTTATGAACATATCCACTTGGTTTTCATGGCAATAATTCAAATGTGGTTTTTATTTGTCTTCCAGAATGTATTCTCAGATTTCCAATATAGATAGCAAGCTTCGATTCCCTGGCAATTTCTGTGCAAGTTTTAATAAGGCTTAATTCATTTCATTTCTAAACTTAGACTAAGTAGCTATGATTTACAAATTAGAATGCTTTTTCTTTGAATACCAAAAAAGAATTCCTTCTTATTTTTGAAATAGATAGTTTTGAAATTCTTAGCTAGGGAAGAAAACAAAATATAAAAACAAAATATAAAGGAGTCTGAAAACTACGATTGATTTCACCTAAACCAAGATGAACAAACAGATATTCCAGAATTTGTTGGTCCAGCACCATTAGTTTAAGCTAGTCTTGCCAATAATCAGGTAGAAAGGGGTTTCAGACCAATTACAAAACTACACTTTCCTACTCCTTATATAAATCAAAGAGATCTAAAAATTGTGAAACACTAAATTAATATCTGACCTTATCCACAGTAGTTTTCTTATCTCTGTGCTTTATATCCAAAATCAATTGAGAAGGACAGAAGTCTTATTAACAAGGGGACAAAGTTTATAGGTATGTAAAGGAGATAAGAATAATAAATAGCACTCCACTCTTTACTCTAAAATGATTTTCTATAATCTCATACTTCAGTTACTGAAATACAGGGCTTTTTTTTTTTTTTTTTGTCATAGAACACCCACAACGGAGTTCCGGCACCTTTTTGGGATGGAACCTTGCAGAGTAGGCAAAGCAGGTTGTATGACATGTGTGAGTTCCGGCACCTTTTTTTTTTTTTTTTTTTTACAATAAAAGCACTGCTGTAATATATAAATAAAATAGTAATGGCCAGAAAACTAAGCATGTCTGGTTTAAATAACATGAATTCCAAAGTTGTTTTAAGTTAGGTATTAGCAACTCATGGTTTGCATGCCATATGGATGCCAGAACTACTTTTCTCATCACTTTGATAATATCAAGGACCTATGTTCTAGCATTTTTACATTTCTTCAATCAAGTGGTATAAAAAGAGTGGTGGTAGAAGAAAATGAAATTGGAAGTATGCATTAAAATAACTATCATAAAGCAGCAGAAAATAATGAAAAGTATTCATTGTAATAATGAATATTATATCTCTGCATGAATCAAAAAGATAGGTCCTAGGAATTTTTTATAATTAAAATAACAATCAGTAAGTTGTCGTCTGACAAGTTGGGTGTCACTCTCGGTGGTGTTGGAGTTCCCTTCCCTTGTTTTGATGGGGTTGGGAACTTGACGACCTCCACACTTTTCATGGCTGTCTCCTTTGGCTTCATCAGAGTCTTCCCAGGCTTCCCAACCAGGACTCAGTTTGGCTTCCAGATGTGGGTGCATGAGTAGCACTCAGCAGCGCAGTGTCCTTCCTTTCTGCATTTGAAGCATCCTGTTGTCCTCAGGGTTATTTGGGCTTGCTTCGTTGGTTCATGGGGTGACTCTTCTGGCAATTTCCCCAAAGATCTCCCTCCACATCATTGTATTCTGGCTTGATCGATCTCTGTTTCCTTGGGCAGGATGTATCAGTCTTGCAGCCAGTCTGGGTCTCCTTGAGGGATGAAGCATCGTACGGGTCATAGTTCAGGCCATATTTGAAATGCCTGATCAAGATATCTTCCAGCCAGTTCAGCTTGCTGGCCAGGGCTCAGAATTCTTGGGTATATTCTGCTACAGGCTGTCACCCTTGCCTGATAGTTTTGATGCATTTCCATGCTTTCTGATCAGCCAAGGGGTCTTCAAAAATGCATCTGAGGGCTGCCATGAATTGATTGAAATTCTGCAGTTCTGTGGCATCGGCATTATGCAGGTCTACCACCCAGTCTGCTGTGGTGCCATCTTGGGCTGCTTGCACAATCTGTATTAGGCCGTGGTCACTTGGTATGTCATGGCCATATTGCTCCATGTAGTTCAACACTTGGGTCTGGAAAAACTCCAGTCGGCGTGGGTCCCCACAGGAACTTTCAGATGGACTGATGCCCCTTCTTCCACCTCTGTCGGTGGCCATCTCCGTCAATAAGTGCAGCTTGCTCAGGGGTGGCGGTGGTTGTGGCGATGGCTTCTGCTTCTGTGGTGCTGGTGGAAGAGCCTGGGTCTGCTGATTCGCTCCCCACCTTCATCTATTCCTTTGGCTGAATTTGGGTTGGTGGTTCCCTGGCATGGGTTGGCTTTCTCCTCCTTCATGGAATCAAAGGTGACCTCAGCATGTCAATGGCTTGTTCCAGGAACTGGCTGGAATGAGTTGGTCAGTAGTCCTCATCTTCACTAAGGCAAAGCGCCCTGTCCATCTTGACTTTCCAACCTGGTTGGTGACTGCCGCGTCTGAGAATCACTTTCCTGGATCTTTTCTCCCAGTCCTTCTTCCCGACACTCATCGACCACCTGGATTTTGGGGGGCATTCCATGATCACCACCTCATCTGATGAGCTCGAGGATTGAGAACTGGGCTGGGCTCTGCTTGATGGTAGAGCTTCCCTCCCATGGCAAGTTCTTCTCTCACCATTCCGATATCAGATATTGTTTGCTTAGCCCCCTGGCAGTTGTCTTCCTTCCAGGTTGACTATTACTGCAGATCCTGCCTAATGACAGGGACAACTTCAAAACCTCATCCTAAGAAAGCAGGACTCTTGGAACAGTTTCTTTCCTAAAGGAACTTTTATTAGGAGAAGCCAATAGCAGGCATAATAGGTAGGATTTGAGGGTTTCCCACTCAGATCAATAGGTTAAAAGAGTCCCAAGCAAACCCCACCCCAATAGTTAATCTGATCAGTTTGAATGGGCCAATCCTCAGGTGTTATGTCCGCTGTGGGAAAGGAGCTGATAATGGGGTCCGTTCCCATGCTTGTGAAGATGTTGTTGGGTCTTCGCATCTTCCCTTCCATAGCGAGAGAAAAGCCAGATGTCTGGAGGCACATTCCTTTCTCACCCCAAGGTAACATCAAGGGAGACAGAGTTCAAAGAATAAATTTGTAGAAATAGCAGAAAGGATACATTGTAGCAAAGCAGAGAAACATACCACAGAGCCTCCCCCTCCCCCTCAGGAGAATGGCAGAACCCTCAGAAATAAATGAAGAAGATATTAAATAGATCTCCCTCCCCAGGGGAAGAATGAGTTCTGACAATTTGTCTATTTCCATAATAATTTAAGTTATGCCTCATAAGATCATTAGAACAAATAGAAAGGGTTTACATGTACCACACAAAAACATAATGTTTATCATTTAAGAACTCAAAAGTAATATCCAAAAAAACAATTTATATAGGATAACTATAGGAAAGTGGTGTACATAATACAGTGATATAGTTGCACAAAATCAGAAGAATGAAAGTCGAAACAATCAATGAGAATTCATTGGCATGGAAATTTGAAAATAAATCATTTCCCTTATTTCTGTCCAGCCCTTCTTTTTGAATTTTTAAGAAATCTGTAACACTATTGATAATATTATAGATATTATTCCAGGTTAATCTTTACCGACGAACTCCAAGAAAACTTTTGTTTTAATTTGCCTTTCTTAACGCTTCGGATAATACCCTTAAGTCTCCATATTTTGTGTTCTCTGCTGTATTCTACTGGTCAGCCTGTCATATTCCTCCAAGCTAGACAAAAAATGTTCATTCTCCCACCTTCTCAGTTTAAAACAAATATTGCAGCAATTCAAAGCAAGTTTTCTGAGGGTAGAATTTCTGGTCCTACCCACTTTACAAGGATGCCTGGAACTCCTTTTTTTAAAGACAGGTTTTATTGTTTTTTTGATTTTTAAAACAAAGTACTCAAGACACACCGTGGTGTATAATTATGTTATACATAAGTCAATCAATACATCAAATATTCCCTCTCTTTTTCCCTTAAGTAACGTATTTTATTTAAAATAACCCAATTCTAGCTTAAATTTATTCAACCTAAACCTGTTTTTAAAGCTTTATAAATTTACACTACCATAATCAAAATAACTTTAAGTACAAACCTTATCAGTTCAGATATCCCTTTCAAATATATTCTAATTCCTTAATTTTATCATAGATCTTATTTATTTCTTCTTCCACTAATATCCCTTATTTAAAATAAAATATTAATCTATCCTATACGTATCTAATCCATCAGTCAATCAATCTCTTTAAAGTGACAAAATAAAGTCCAACCTTAAATCATTTCAATCCATTTGACAGAAGTCAAATTTCATCCAATTAATTTTCATAACTAATCACATTAAGATTAGTTATGAAATAATTAAGATTGCCGGGAGAAATATCAACAACCTAAGATATGCAGATGATACCACTCTAATGGCAGAAAGTGAAGAGGGACTAAAGAGCCTCTTGATGCGGGTTGCTTTCTTGAAACCAACTCATCATCAATTCCTGGCAAATAGATGGGGAAGAAATGGAGGTAGTGACAGATTTTATTTTTCTGGGCTCCAAGATCACCTCAGATGGGGACTGCAGCCAAGAAATTAAAAGACGCTTGCTCCTGGGGAGGAAAGCTGGCAAATCTAGACAGCATACTAAAAAGCAGAGACATCACCCTCCAACAAAAGTGCGTATAGTCCAGGCCATGGTTTTCCATGCAAGTTGGCTGTGAAAGTTGGACCAAAGAATTGAGGCCTTTGAACTTTGAACTAGCTGACGAAAAGGCGTTCAAACCGGTCAGTCCTAGAAGAGATCAACCCCGACTGCTCTTTAGAAGGCCAGATCCTGAAGTTGAAACTCAAATATTTTGGCCACCTAATGAGAAGGAAGGACTCACTGGAGAAGAGCCTGGGAAAGATTGAGGGCAATAGAAGAAGGGGACGACAGAGAATGAGATGGCTGGATGGAGTCACTGAAGCAGTAGGTGTGAATTTAAATGGACTCCAGGAGATGGTAGAGGACAGGAAGACCTGGAGGAACATTGTCCATGGGGTCGCGACGGGTCGGACACGACTTCGCAATTAACAACAACTAATCACATCCATGTTATCAAACAAACAGATCATCTTATTAGTTTAACTCAACATTACATAATAATTTTCTTACAAATAAACCTATCATTCTAAAAAAACAAAAAACCACATTCTTAATCAATTTAATATATATATTTCATTAACCACCCCCTTTTCTCTTACTTTTTAAGCTTAAAAGATAATATCAAAGCTTAAATCATTTCAATCCATTGGACATCAAACAAACAAATCATCTTATTAAAAATAATAATTTTCATATCGATAAACCCATCAATTCAAAAAGTACATTCTTAGTCAATTTAATACATATCTTCCATTAATTGCCCATTTCTCTTACATCTCACTCATAATCTTAGTCCTTAAATCAGTCCATAATTCTAAATTGCCTTTAATTCATTACATAAAATTTTAAATTTCACTTCTTTTCAGTCTTATTCTGGGCTTCTTTCTTCCATAACAGAGCTTCCCTTCCAACTGCTAAGTCTCTCTTTATCGCTTGCAGTATCATTTGAATCCATGTAAACCATCTTGGCCTTTGCATTGGCCTCTGTTTCTCTTAACCATAAAATTTCATTGCTTTGACATTTCAAATCTCAGTCTTTGCTTTTCCTGGTCATCAAAACCATAGGTGAACTGCTTATCAGGCAAAGTCAATTTCTCCTTATTCTCAGTTAAGTCCTCTTCTTGTGTAGTCTGTTTTACAGAATAATCAGAAGTAGTTTGAGAGTCAATTTTGAAGTTTAAAGGAGTGATTCTGGCTCTTAATTCTGTAGTAAACTCTTTCATTGTAGCACATATTTCTTCTTTAGCTTCATAAATCTTTTCCAGAATAAGTTTACAATTTAGGTGTGAATGCAGTTCCATTTTAAAAGTTATTCAGCTGGATCAGGTTATCTTTCTCTCTCAAAAAAAAAAAAAAAAAACAGTTTGAAACCACTCACCTCCAAATAGTCAACAATTACAATATTAGTTTTTTGGCCAGTAGATGTCCTCAGTAAGCTAAAAAAATCTTTTTTTTGAGGAGTCATTTTTTTCACTTTCTTTTCTATTTTTTAAGGAAAAAGTAGAGAAAATAAATACTCTTCCAATATAAGATAGTAATAGCGCTCAGCAAGAAAAAAACAGCATAAACTGATAATATAGCTCTTAAGAAAAAAATTTTTTTCGGTACCCCAAAACATGTATAAAAAATGTAGTCTTTACAATTTTGTTTTATTCTTTTGTTCACGCCTTCCTTCCCAAACAAGAAACAGTTTTTCCAAGCCAGGGAAATAATTCCAACAGGGCTCTTACAGGCAAAAAAAAAAAAGAAAACAAAATAGAAGGAAAAAATAATTCAGGATGGAGAGAGGGAGGAAAGGTCTCACCCGGATTCACCACAGTGGTTCTTTATGCTTAGATGATTTTCTGGCTTCAACTGGCACAGTGAGGTGATCGGCTATTTTACTGACCAATCTTCTTCTCCATAGGCCCTATGGAGTTAGCTTGGATTGTAGGGGGAGCCGCCGCTCCACCATAAATGAGCAAAAGCCTCCTCGACAGTGGTCGCCCCTCCAGGGTGATTTAAGACCTGCATAAGGGTCTACCGGTAGAGAGAAAGGCAGCCAATGAAGAGTGACAGCTCTTCGTATGGCTGAAGCTGCCTGATCTGGAAGCGTAGGATGCCTGGAACTTCTAATTCACAATATTCGCATCTCTGAAGGGGAAAGCTGTGTTAGATTTAGAATCTCAATTACTTGGCAATACTTTAACAGAAAAAATATAATTATTTCTATGTGAAAGAGCCTAACATCTATCTTTGAAGCAATAGTCCTATGGGAAAGAATGAATTAGCAGATCCTTGAGGTTTACGAGTCTGGTTGCATCATACTTTTTTTTTTCAAAGAGCAAATCAGTAAATCCCCTGGCTTATGTAAAGTAATATAATTGTCTGAAACATTTTTTAGTGTGCTGAACATCTAGTTTTGACATTCAAACTTTAGAGCAATCCTTGGTTATTGATTGAAATCCCCTGAACAGAGGGTGGTTGCAGGTAAAGGCAAAATCAACCTATTGTTAATTTTCTTTATCTACAAAATAGGAACACTTAAAACCTTGCCTAAATGAGACACCATTATTTCCACAAAGCAGAACTTGGTGTGAGCATATTGCATATTTCCAAAGCATTTTCTTATTTTGTTCTGTTCCTGTAATACCCAAATGTCCCCTTGTCCTCTATATTTAAAAAAAGAGCAGAACTTAGAGTTTAATTGTACTAGTTATTCTTTGTAATCTTTCAACATCTATTCTCCCTAGAATTGAATTGATATTATCTCAGTTCCATTTATCATGCGTTACAGTTAATATTGGTCAGTATTTAGCAGGAGGAGGAGAAATATTGAAAGAAGGATATTTAAATATTTAAAAAGATATTTCAACAGATAAAGGAAAATATTAATAAAGAAAGAAATCTGCTACAGAAGGCAAAAACCCTTTTAATCTCTTCCCTTCCCTTATTGATCTTTTATGTGATTTCAGTAACAGTTTAGATACTCTTTTATATAGTCCTAATCTAAAATATACAGTATCTTTGAAAATCTTGATTCATATTTTAGTTGGTATACAATGCCCAACTAATAAAGCAATATTTACTATTGTCCAACTATTAGTCCTACATCATATTCCATTATTCAGATGTTCATGTCTATTATCTAGAGAAATTGAAAATTATCATTATAAGAATAAACTTCAATTAAATTGAAAGGATAAAATCTTACTTGTAGCTTTGTGATACAATAAAACTGAATTCAGTAAAACTATACAGTATTGAACATTCACTGGCAAAAGCGGAACTCCATATTCCTAAATCTAAATTTCTAATTAGAGTCAAAACACAAAGTATTATTTCCTCCATGAAATGACACAGGGCTGTTTTTGAAACACAAGATGTCATAAATATTGCTGTGGCTTCACAGTGACTTCAGCAATACTTCTGCAACTCTATTTCAAGCCTCTCTACCTAAGAAGATAAGGGTAAGGGGAATTCTGATTGGATAATATAACACAAAATTCTATATGAATTTACATTTTTAAATCCATTTCATTCTTGTTTTATTCTACAATTCAACAGACCTGCCATGGGTTCCATCAATAAGAGATATAGAGAAGAAAAATATGATAATTTCCAAATGGAAGAAATGTTCAAAATAAAGACAGGAAACCAGACTATAATCTCAGAATTCATCCTTGTGGGATTTGGAATTCTCCCAGAGTTGCAGCCTCTTCTTTCCTTTTTCTTCTTGATAATATATCTTGCAACAATAAGTGGGAATCTCCTCATTATATTCTTAGTGATAGTTGACCACCATCTTCACTCCCCCATGTACTTTTTCCTAGGAAATCTGTCATGCCTGGAGACCTGCTATAGTTCAATTATCTTACCAAAAATGTTGGCCAATTTGTTTACTGGTCAACAATCTATTTCTTTTACTGGATGCATGGTCCAATTTTATTTGTTTGGTTCTTGTATTGGCATCGAAACATATCTCCTGGCAGCTATGTCCTATGACCGATATGTGGCAATATGTAGACCTCTACATTATACTTCCATCATGCATGTTATGGCTGGTGTTCAGATTATGATTGGATTGTGGATTGGTTCTTTCCTAGCAAATTGCCTAACAATAGCACTGCTGGCTCAGTTATCATTCTGTGGCCCTAATATTATAAATCATTATTTTTGTGACTTGTTCCCACTTGAAAAACTTGCATGTAGTGATACAACAATAGTTCAACTTGTTACCTTCCTTTTGACTGTTATTTTCACTATCACTCCATTTCTACTTACACTAATGTCTTATATTGCCATTATTGCCACAATTCTAAAGATATCTTCTGCTGCTGGAAGGCAAAAAGCCTTTTCAACCTGTTCGTCTCATCTCATGGTGGTTTCTCTTTTTTATGGTACACTAATAATTGTCTACATTTTGCCAAATACACCCAGTTTGAGGGAACTGAATAAAGTTTTTTCCATTTTCTACACTGTCTTGACTCCTCTGATCAACCCTTTGATCTATAGTTTAAGAAACCAAGAAGTTCACACAGCGCTAAGGAGAGTTGGATGCAAAATATATCATTTTGCAAGAACGCAAGCCAGTATATTATCATAGATTTTGATTTATTTCCTCTTATTTTTATTTAATTTTATTTATTTATTTATTTATTAAACTTATATGCCTCCCATCGTGCCTTATCTCATATGTATGTATGTATGTATGTATGTATGTATGTATGTATATAATTTTAGCCCTTTGTTGTAATTTGGGGTTAACTTATCATATCAAAAATAATGCCCTCTGGAGTATAAACTCTTTTCTTCAATTTTGGAAGAAAGACTAAAGAAAATTTTATTAGAATATATTCATGAAGACTAATCTGGCTTTCTGCTGAAAAAACAGATAAGGAACAATGTGAGGGCTGTTCTTAACATTACAGAATATTTACAATATCATAATGAGAAAAAAGCAGCTCTAATATTCTTAGATGCAAAGAAGGCCTTCAACAATTTAAATTGGGTGTTTGTGTTTAAAGTGTTGGAAGAAATAGACTTTAGGTATAATTGTATTCAAGGAGTTAAAGCTATTTATACATCACAAGAAGCAAAAATTGTTATTAATGGTGATTTAGTCAACTAATGTGAAATTCAAAAGGATATAAGACAAGGATATCCCTTGTCTCCTTTGCTGTTTATTTTGGTGTTGGGTGTTTTGAATAGAGATATTAGGCAAGACGAGAAAATAAAGGGCATAACTATCTAGAAAGAAGTTTATAAACTGGGGGCATTTGCTGATGATCTGGTCATATTCCTACAAGATCCAAAAAATAATCTAGGATATTTGATGATGAAGTTAAATTAATTTGGATCTTTAGCAAGTTTTAAAATAAATAAACATAATGTTGACTAAGAATATGTCATCTCAGGATAATGATATACTGACTAAGGAGTGCCTCTTTGGAATGATATCAAAAAGGATTTACAAAGATGGGATAAATAAATAAATCTATCATTATTGTGTAGGATCTCTGTAATCAAGATGAATGTTTTACCAAAGATGCTTTTTCTGTTCCAGACATTACTAATACTTGCAATTTATGTCCCATTTAAACAGTGGCAAAGGGATATTTCCAAGTTCATATGGCAAGGGAAGAAACCAATAATTAGACATAAGTCATTGCAAGATGCTAAGGAAAGAGGGGGTTTGGGTTTACCAGATTTGAAACTGTATTTTGATGCATGTTGCCTGGCCTGGTTAAAAGAGTGGGTGAACCTCCAGAATAAGATGCTACTTGATTTGGAAAGTCATGAACTAAGGTTTGGATGGCACAGTTATTTATGGTATGATAAAGTTAAAGTTAATGTTGATTTTAATAATCACTTTGTTAGACGTACCATACTAAGTATATGGAACAAGTACAAAAACAAGATTCTCCACAAAGTTGAATCTTTGGGTATCCCCACAGGAAGCTTTTTTTTAGAAAAGAAATGGTGGTGAAACCAGATTGGTGGACCTATGGTAAAATAATACTTTTCAACTGTGGTGACCCTATTCTTAAATCGAGGGAAGAGTTAGAATTAGAGGATTGTGTTTGTCATTGGTTTACATACCAACAACTGAAAGAAAGATTTAAACTAGATAAAAAAATTTGGGGTTTGACTTCATTAAAAATGAATTGGAAATATTATTGTGTGGCAGTGATGAACATATTATTGCCAAGGCTTATAAAATGCCAATGAAATTGAATTTGGAAAGTGAACATATAAAACATTTTATGATACAATGGGCAAGGAATTTTGATTATAATGTGATGCAGAAACAATGGGAGAATATGTGGATGAAAAGTTTAAAATGTACATTGAATTAAAAGAAAATTTCTACAAGATAATGTATCACTGGTCTCTAACACCAGACAAGTTATCTAGAATGTATAAAGGTACTTCAGATGAATGTTGGAAATGGAAATGGGAAGAAAGGACTTTTTATCATTTTTGGTGGACATGTGATAAAGCAAAGAAATATTGGAAAAGGATTCACATTTTGATAAAGAAAATCCTTAAAGTAAAAATAAACATGAAACCAGAAACTTTTCTTTTGGGTTTAATGGAAAAAGACTTGGAAAAACAATTCAGAACTTTGATCCTGTATATGTTGACAGCAGCAAGACTACTGTATGCATAAAAATGAAAGGACATTTCGATTCCTACTATGGATGAATGGCTACAGAAGCTGATGGAGTTTGCAAAGATGGCAAAACTGACTGTTTTGATTTAAAAAAAGAACTCAAGTACCTTCATTTCAACATGGAGAAAGAATGAAACTTTGATTTTGGGTTTCACTGATTAAATTGATTTGTTGTTACAGAAATGGCTAGTTTTTATTATTGTGAAAAAGTAAAAAGTTGAGGCTTGACGTTAATACTCTATTCTACTGCAACAGAGGGTTAGGATTAGGGTCGGAAGTCAATCTCTCTTTTTTTCTTCCCTTTCCCTCACTTTCTTCTCCCTTTTTCCTCCCCATTGTTTCCTACTATTTGCTTTGTATTTTGTAATTTACTTTACATCTTAATAAAATGTTTAAAAAATTAAATAAATAAATTATTGCCTCTGTAAGATCTCATCTGAAATATGTTTTTATAAAGATAACTTGCTTGTTTTGCTCTATTCTGATATTCAGAAACTTTTTGCAGAAATAGTGGTGCATCTTTGTGTTGTGTACATCATGAATATAATTAACTGATCTTTTTTAGATACATGTTTAAAATTTTGATTATTAAATTACTTAAAAATCCTTATTATGAGTTGGAAGACCAAACTGTAGATATTGTATCAATTAACTATTAAAATAAATTGTTCAAATTGCATTGTTTTTATTGTTGATTCATACAGTTGTGACTAATTACAGATATAATGGAACCTGTATATTATCAAAATACTATACCTCTGTTGATACAACCTAGGACCACATTGGCTTTTTTGGCAGCTGCAGCACACTGCTGATGATCCACTAAAGGACATCTAGATCCCTCTCACAATTGCTACTGTTGAGCCAGATACCACATATTCTATACCTGTCGTTCATCTTATTGGATAGGCCCAATGTCAATTCTGTCAAAATCCTTCTGAAGATCTTTGGTCTATCTTCCAAAATATTGGCAGTTCATATAAATATAGGGCAGATTGGTTGAGTAATGGCAAACAGAAGATTTTGCAGATTGACTTCTTTTACTTATTCAGGAGCACTGGAGGCAAAACATTAATGCCGCTGTCAATTAAAACAATTATGTTGCTATTAAATATTTTATCATTGATTCTAATATATTATGATTAATACAGTGTAACTGTGATTATGCATGCATGTATCTATATTTAATATAACATATATGTTATTTATTTATCAAATGTACATGGGTGCCCATCTCACAAGCAATGATACTGGGCAGCATATTAATTTTAAAAGCAATAAATATGTAAATCATAAGAAGGCACAAAAGAGGATGAATCAGATCAAAAAGCATTTAATACTTCCAAGTAAAAAGCTTTTAATATTTTCAAGTGGAAAAGTCTTAACTATAGAGGATTTTTATAAAACAGAGTCCTTACTGATCATAATCAGTCACTACAATAGAAGTAGCTGTGAGACTGGCATGAAATCTCCTACTCATTCTTTCAAATTCTTCTCTGTAAAGGTCAGAGGTTTACATGGGGAGGGAGTCATAGCTTAGCAGCAATTCTACCTGTCCCTCCACCCTCCCATTCAAGACATCATGTGTTTTAATGCTTTTGTGAATGCATTTCTTAAGATAATCATTTGCTTAATCCAGGAAGTTCTGCAGGCAGAAAAAAAAAGCCTTTCTCTAAAATTCTTCTCTTAAATATGCAGCATTTCTTAAAATTTAAAATTAAGAAACTTTCAAACAACTTTTTATATTTATCTAGAATGAATACAACCCATCAAAAACTTTATTTCTTATAGAAGAACGAACAATAAAAAAATTACTTGTGTATATTATCCACCATGCTCTGGCTTTTTCAAGTAAGGAGGACAAAATCATGGCAGAACTCTTTAATGTATGCAGTCCCTAATATAATATTGCAGAAAAATCTAGAAACATGATACTGTCCTAAAAAGACACCAAATCTTGGTTTCATTGGGAATAATACAGAATATGAACAAAAAAAATGTTCATAATTGGTTAAAGTGGTGTGTCATTCCAATTGTACACAATTTAGCAACTGCTTTTTTAAGGGCCTCTTTCACCTCTCTGTTTCGTAGGCTGTATATCAGGGGATTGAATAAAGGGGTCAGGATTGTATAAAACAGAGATAATACTTTGTTAATGTTTCACAGGCCATCTGTTTTGGGCAAAATGTAGACAATCATTAAGGTGCTATAGAAAATGGACACCACCATGAGGTGTGAAGAGCAGGTTGAAAAAGCCTTTTTCCTCCCACTAACAGATGACATTCTCATTATAGTGGAAATAATAAAAATATAAGATTCCAAGATCCAGAAGAAAGGAAACAAGATACATATAGCAGACATAAAAATAGTAACTATTTCAATCAAATGAGTGTCACTGCATGCAAGCTTTAATATTGGATTCAGTTCACAAAATAAATGATCAATTTCAGTGGGCCCACAGAATTTTAACTGATAAATAAGATATAAAACTATGCTCATAACAAATAAACCATGAATCCATGATCCAGCTATAAACTGGAGGCAAATTCTGCTATTCATTAGTGTTGTGTAATACAGCGGCTTACAAATTGCTACATATCTATCATATGACATTGCCCCTAGTAGAAAACATTCAGCAACTGCAAAAATAGCAAAAAAATAATATTGCATCATGCAGCCAGTTACAGAAATGAATTTTCTTCCACCATAGATGAGATTAGACAACATCATTGGAAGGATGCTTGAACTGTAGCAGATGTCCAGGAAAGACAGATTACCCAGGAAGAAATACATGGGGGTGTGAAGATGGGGATGAGTAACAACCAGCAAAATGATGAGGATGTTCCCAACCACAGTAACAATATAGATTACCAAGAAAAGGTAGAAGAGAGAAAACTGCAAGTCTCCAAGCTCTACAAATCCCAGCAAATTGAATTCCATAATTTCTGTTCGGTTATCTTGTTCTGTTTCTGCCATTCCTGCAAA